CTCTACTAGACAATAAACAAAGTATACTTGTGTTATAGAAAAAAGCAAGATACTGAAGAATGAAGACGATGAGTCTGCTAAAAAAAACTCGGAATCTTCTGTGTTCAAGAATTGCAAAGGTTAGTTAAAGAGAATAGGATTTAAGTTAGGATCTGTTGTCAGAAGAAGATGATCTGGTCTGCTAAATCTGCGGTCTGCTTGTGTTCTTCTACAAGAAGAAACAAGCGATCTCTGCATATCTATCTCTCTTGGGCAAATATAGCAGGTAAAATAGAAAATACAATTCTTATTGAAAGTGCATTCACAAATAATTTGTATAATACTCTGGTCCGGTTAATATAATCGGATTTGTACAATACTATAGGTATGTCAATATGAACAAGTTAGCATTAAGTGAATCTTCTTTGAACATAATACTACTGTTATAGTACAAACCATTTGTTTTGCTTGGCCGAGTAGTATATATGCACTTTTGATAAGATCTCACATCTTTCTATGTATCGATATTTCGAGTAACAAGAAGAGCTAAGCTTAGGTGGAGTAGCGACTGCGAATGTAGAGGAACAAAGCCGTGGATGCAGCTACCACATACGGGAAGATTGTCCATATTCCCTGCAGAAATGTATTAGAGCCAAAACTTGTGTCAAAGCTATTCACGTTGCTTATTTCTCTCTCTCTCTACTTACCACTACAGTTGCTACTGTTGCAAGAGCAAACATGGGGCGTTCTCTAAGGAAAAACCCGATCACAAGCTGAAACATTTGTTAGTATTAAGACCCACTAGTTAGTCTCGGATTCACATCGTTACAAAGAATCGAATATAGTATAGAGAGAAGCAGATTAACCTGAAGTGGAAGAGTGATCAAACCGCCACAACAAACTCCTGCAAAGAAGCATTCTGGAGATATTCCCTATAAAGATTCATGTGGACAGGTTTGAGTAACCATGTTTCTACATATTGAAGCAATTCCGCAACACACTTACAAGAGCCCCGGCTAAGAATGCTGTAGGATTTCTCACTCCCAGAGAAAATCTTTCCACTGCATTTCATACAACCAAACAGTAGCCAAGATTATATAAAGTCATTCATCAGAATTATCACATTATAGAAAGTTCATTTTAAACCAACAGCAGACCGAAAACTTTGTATATCTTACCGAAACCCGAGAGATTTCCATACTTTTGGACAGCCTGAGTAATGCTTAGCGCTTTCTCTTTACCTATACCGAGCTGTAGATCAAAATGCCGATACCAATGAGAAAAGTAGAAAACAATCAGCTTTTTGGATACATATGTGAATTGAAAATTAACAAGAATGGATTTCACCTAAGGGAAGTAACCTTTGAACAAACATCATCTGATGCTCCACTCTGTCTGAAGAGCTTCCCGAGGTAAAACGGTATCATATCGCTAATACAAACTCCCCTTTTCGAAATTCCAAGTTGCCAACAAAAACACACCAAAGAATAAAGCTAAATAAGAACAATGGGGGCTATGTTGTTTTAACTAACCAGAGATGTTGCTTTTACCAGTAGACCCATGACACCGTAGACATTATATAAGGAGCATTCCGAGAGAAAGACTCAGCAAAGGATTGCCACGTCCCATCCAGAGTTAACATCCGAGCCAACGTTATACCAACCTGCATTTTACATTTAGAGGAAACTATCATCAAAACCATTTGATGAAACAGAACCCAAAAAGATGTAATAGGAAGATGAAACAGAAGTACCGGTACAAAGCACAGACCCATATATTTAGAGCCTCTTCGCTAATAAAAAGCCCGCATCCAGCTGCCATTAGCAACCAAAAGTAAACCCATCTGGAAAGAGAAACAGTGAAGCAGCTAAAGGATTCTTCAAAACATACAATCTTATTCATAAGGAAAGTTTTGTGGCTAACGGTTACATTACCCCGGTGCATTTCCTGGAATTACGAATTTGTTTCCAAAAGCACTAAAAGTAAAACCTTCTGAAGAAGATGAGGCTTTGGCTATACTCTTAACCTCAAAAGGTGAACCACCAGAGCCATTCAAGGTTACACATATTACTGTAATAGTCAGCGCCAATCCTAACCCCATACCTAACCATACTATGAATGGTACTCTCTTCTTTCCAGAAACACTTGCGTTTTCAGCTTTAAGTATCTCATTGACATTTGGTTTCTCATCTTCACTATCATGAGACTTTTCGGAATCATTATTTCCGACATTTTCTTTCTGAAAGCTTCTTACTTTGATCCTGCCACATTATAAGCATCAAATTATCAACCAACACATGATATAAAGGAAAGAAATCCGACAAGCCAATATGTTCACGAGCCATACATTGTAACAAAATCGACTGTTTTTTCTGCTAATTCCAGTGAAACGACCGCCTAAATCGAAAACGCATTTCGATTAGCCAACAGGAAAATGTTGAAACCACTAAAGATGTTCTATTTCAGACTATTTACAGGAGTTGATTGTACATGCAAACTAAACTACTTCTCTTTGCTTCTATCGATTTACCTATTTCAAAAAATTTCCAAATTTCTTTTACAGGACAATCAAATTCCACAATCAGAACATATCTAATCCTTTCTATCAAACTAGAAATGATCGAAATTTCTATAGGAGAAGTGTAATTAATCACGAACTTAAAAACCTGTAAGAAGAAAGCTTGAAGAGCCGTGACACCGAGAAGCTTTCTGCAGCAGAACCATAGAGAACTCTGCGTTTTAAGACAACAAGGTTGGGTTTGGGAAGGTTTAAGGAAAACCCATTAACCGGAACCGCCATGGAAGAAAACATTCTTCTTCGGGCAGTTGAAGATTGACTGTACGAAATTGGTTCCGAGTATGCAGAGGAGAAGAAGAAGAAGAGGACACAAAGTGTGAGTTTTGGTTCCGAAATTGTTTGAGTGGTGATCGACGACTCTCAAGATTCGCATATTCTCTCTGTGTGATACAAAAGAGCGTGGATTAATTTTGATTTTCATCTTCATATCAAATGAATTAGAAAAATGCAGAATTTAAACCTCTAAAATTTAAGAGGAAATGGTAAAAATAATATATA